TTTCTCAATAGAAATATACACCATTGTATTGGAGGTTATCATATTAGGATGGAATCAGAGTGATGAGAACGTATGGAAGGTCAAAATGAGTTCATCAAACAACAATCTTAGTTTTAGATAAATGATATATGATGTGTGCAATGTCTGAACGGGGTCCATCCTTGGATGAACCATAGCAATAAGAGATTAGCCGAATCTAGGTGAATCACATTGTAATTGCTTTTAATAATTAAAAAAGTAAAGTGCACCAAGTGGTGAGATAATTTGAAAATATCAATTATTGCGTACAATCTTAATTGTTCGGTTTCGAAGGTTTGCACAATCCTTTAGGTGTGAAATCAAACCATACTTGGAATGCCTGACTTTCAGACGGATCCATCATTTTTGCCATCTAACTCAGTCTATCACAGGGCAACATCTCAGGAAATTGATAAATTGCCGGTGGTAATGGTTCCGGTAGTTCTGCTACTACCGACGTTTTTGCGTCCTATAAAGATCATGACTCTTCAACCTCAGAATCTTTACAATGATAAGTTCCTTAGACCACATTAAACTTTTGATCATCTACCTTTTCTATGGGACACGCTTGACCGTCCAAGATGACTTGCTGGCTTATTTCAATCAAATTGTATTCCCACGTGCCAGGCTGTTGATCATGGTTACAAAGAGACAATGGCCCCACATTTTCAACCTCGAGATTAAATATTATGTCTTGCCAATCTTGTACAGTTGCAAGTGAACTGGAGCTCTAATTGGACATGAGTAATGGATGAAATTTTCTTTACTTCATTTTTTTCTTCACATAGTATTTTGCTATCAATAAAATCTTACTATTTTCAAATCTTCGCTTTCTGAAAATCCTTTTGGAAAATTCAATGCCATAATCTCCCAATTACTGGCATTGAGATCAAACCTGACCCAAGAGCTACCCCCTCAAATGCTATTTCTCTCAACTTCCAATATATAGAAGAATGGACCATCCACATTACCTTCCGGAATAGCGGTGCAGTCTATCGAAAGCTAGAAATTGAAACAAACAAATGAGCATAGGGGAGGGTGTGCCTGTACCGCTCAACGGGTAATACAGCTCACCCGATTTTCTCCACAACCATCAACTTAAAAATTTCTTTCTGTTCCTGATCATGAAGAATTTGATGATAGGATGTGATTGACGGAAAATTTTCACTTTATTTACCACTTTAAATATGAAAAAACACGTAACGAAGTTTTGAGGTCTTTACAGTGCAAAATTTGTGGACTTTTAATGAAGGTTTTTGATAGTTCCAAACGCTGAATTCTCATATTAAACTGTGGTTATTCGATTCGTGGTACTTTCACACGTAATTTGAGACCAATTCGAACTCAAAAGTCCACTCATGTCAATAATTATCAACAATTTTGTTGACGCCGAGCGGAGCCGGTAATACCGCTCATAGGATCGACCACGTAGTTGCTCGACAGCACTCGAGTACAGGTTAGGTTGCGGCGCGAGCGATACACCCAAAACCCTATGAGCGGTATTGGAATCGTACCGAGCGGTATTACCCGACAGCGGGTAGTACCGCTCAATAGGCTCTCTCTTTTATTTTCAATCAATTTTGTGGATTCTAAGGAGAATTAGGCGTCTACACTTTGAGAATAACGAGTTCAATAGTTAAAGAAGTCTACGAGTACTCCCGACAACCGGCCCGACGGCGAGGGGGTGGCGGCCTCGCGTGTCCCGCGGTTAAGGTAACGGCGTTACACCCAGTTACATCGAGGGGTGTCTCCTGTGCCTCTGTGTATTCAAGTCCCTGGATTCCTCAGCGAAAAACGGCCAAGGCTGGGGCAATTTCTACTTTAATTCGNTTATTGGTACGCTGTACTATGTAAAATACTGTAAAACGCTGTCTACTATTGGAGCATATATGTAGTTCGTAAGGGGGAAAGGGGGGAACAAAATGTAAAAACCCGAGAGAGTATACATGTGACAAAAATAAATAAATAGTTAAAGAAGTCTCACAAATACGTTTTTTCTACTCAAGTTGAAATATAAAATATAAAACTGGCATTACAGGTACATCCTCCCCTAACTAATCAAGTCAGTACATATGATCAGTAGGAGAAATATGCAACCGAATAAACAGCTAATTGATGTCCTTTTTGCAGCGTAAATAAGAATACATTCTGCAAGTTCACCCAAGTAAGAATGTCATGATTCAAGTAGTAGGCCGAGGATGGCCCAGTGCTGGCCAAGATTGGGCCATTTCTCATCTTCTATCAGGGAGAAGATGGCTACCTCAATCGAGTCAAATTTCTGGCTTATTGTGTATATCAAAATGGGATGTTTTATGAAAATCATATCAAGTCGGGCTTGACCTGAATGAAGTCATGGAACAATTCAATCATAACTATGTCGAATTAGCAGTTCCGAGCTGAATTATAATTTTTTTTTTTGGATAAGGCATAATCTATTATATATAATAGGATAATATAATCTATTATAATGGTTGATGCTCTCTCCCTCTGCAGGAAATATCCAACCATCCTATCTACGCAAAGGACAAAGAAATTGGGGTCAAGAGCACTCAGTTTCGAGGAGCCAAAAAAGTTGGTTATCTGAATTTCATATTCCTGGGATAATTAGCATGAAAAATTGAACAAATTACGGGGACTGACATAAGAAATTTTCTGGACTGAGATCACGGTGAAGTTACGAATCAGCATTCGACTTTCGATGAAAATATTTTTTTAAAGAAATATGAATTTTATTGAAAAAACTATAAGTATTTGAAATAAACTCACTGTTGGTGCTGGATCACCCAAACCACATTCAGCCGCTTTACCTTCAGCACTACCTTCAGTGTTTCCATCTGTATCAACACTGGCTTGTAAGTTGCAAAGACATTTTATCCCTTCAATATCAATTTCAACTTGTGCGTCAGGCTGATCTTGTGGATCAGGCATGTTTTCGACCGAAATATCCTGATCAGTTGCGTTCGGCGAATCGGCCGCAGCAGGATCATGTTGACCCTAAAATTTCATTTGTCAAATTTTATCATTATTACCAATGTTGACTATCTGGTAGACTTTTGCTGAATTTTTTTACCTGCGCACAATTCGCGAATGCTGCAAGTACTACAACCAAGATGATTTTCATACTGAAGTCGACAGGCCTGTAGGTATTAAAGAACTAACGTTGAAGTGTGTAAGTTTTTGGTCTTCGATGGGAACAATGAGCATGTGTTATCTATAATTACGCGCAGAAGGTATAAACAACGTTATATAATTTTCGATTCACCAGTCACTTTATGTATGAAGTATACTTTTCAAAGATAGAATGATTAACGCTTCTCTATTAATAAAGGTCTTTTATATGAGGACCTACTCGCAAGACGATGAATATCAAATCACTGGCCTAAAAATCAAATGAATCCTTCAGATGATTGTTCATTGCTTTCAAATTCAGAATTACCTGAGTTATTAGGTAGGCCTTATGATGGGCCTCAATAGCGCATTGAGGGTTGATATATCGTATTAATACCGTATATGATGGATTAATGAAAAAGTACTTGACTATGCTCGTCAATTTTGGGAGGCGCTGCATTATTTCACTTTGAGAAGAACAAGAAAAATACTAGTTGCCTTGAGAAGGATGATTTCGAAAATCTCCATAAGAATCCTTAATAATACATATGATATCTCAAAGAGTTTCAAATCCGTGAAATCCCGCGGTCTCGGTAGTATAGGGAGGACTTCTCAGGGCCGAAAATAACTGAGAATTCGAAAGTTCTCCGGAAAACTACGTCACAGAACTGATTAGGACTTACCAGGTCAATCTAGTTCTGGAGAGATCTTGAAAGACCTGTGTACGTCCAATCAGAACCAAATCCTCGACTCCGGAGGTACCATCCCCATTCCAATCTCTTACATCACATAGTTTTTCTATCATCAATACTGACTCAATCTGCTCAGAAGTAACCATGCATTACATCCGCATTTTCATGAAAATTGTAGAAGCATCACATTGTCTGAATGTTGATTCCAGCAGTCTTGAAATATCGACACATTATTTTACGTTGCTTGCCTTATCGTTACAGGCATAAATTAGCTTTGCACGTGTAAACTAGAAAACTTTTCGGTCGTCGTGTTTTATCATTTGAGGACATCGATTAGCTGACAACGGCTCGAAGGCACCCATTATAAGACGATTGGTAAGGCACAGTTTCGATCGATACATTGACACATTGAGTGACGCTGACAAGACCGTCAACACATATATCTATGGTAATGGTCCAAAGAAGAAAGAGAAAGACTTTCATTTCCTTAGGAAGTATCAAAATCAGTAAATGGATTACAATTATTGTAATACCACCTACGGTATTGGTTGACGAGGTTAGAAGTAGCAAGTTATATAGTTGTTGCATCCAGGACTGCATCGCCGAGAAATCTCCCAATCGATATCAATTTTACCCAAATTGTCATATCACCGGGCACCAGGATAACAACGCGCAATGCAATATCCTTCTAGCTGGTATCAGACACGGTCTTCTGACTGAAGATTCCATTCTGATGTACATATTCAAACTTCAAGAGGAATACACCAGTCTGAACCAACTATGACGTCGAAAGACCACTGCCACTTCGACGTTATCCTGATGCACCCATGGAATTTAACACCTAAATGGTATCCATCGAGGTTAGGGTGTACGATGTTAGTCCCACTATGATGCTGATTACCGTTGAAATCCGATTTACTGTGGTAAACCTACCAACTCTGGTAATAACTAATTTGCACCCATGGAACACCTGAATGGTATCCGTTGGGAGTAGGGTGCACGATGTTAGGCTCACTATAACATTAGTAACCGTTTAAAACCGATTGACTTTGGTGAACCACCAACTCTGGTGATAGCTAATTTCTGTAAAAGGATGATAATGAAAGTAAAAATACACTTTTTTTCGGACCAGATGTTTTATTGTGTACAAATATCTCTGAAGAAATTGAATATAACTTCATGTCCTTCACCAAAATCAATTCATATATTGAATGATCGATATAATGGAAACATGATTCCCCTTGATCTAAATTTTCTCATTTACAAATCGTTAGATGATCCCTAACAGGAAGAAAATGGATCAATGAATATAGTACTTTTTAATTAATTTTCTTGGGACTGTTTTGCTTCAATTCCGTCAGAGAAACCACATTAGAAAAAGAATTTTTCACCAACCATTAATAACAAAATATCAGCGGAGTCAAATGAGGTGAAAAAGAACGATGACTCCGATTACACAGGAAATTTGGCGCAAAGAGATTACAAAATACGTTCAGAATGGTCCACGATACTTGACAATTCTATTTGGACAGAATGAAAATTCAATTTAAACATGAAATTGCGAACTCATATTTCAATTTCCTAAATGCAGTTCACAGGTTTGCGCTCGTAACGGATCATCGAACAAGCACAAAAATCTCGTATTGCACATCAATACAGAACAATCATTGAATTGCAAAAAAGAAATATTGGAAATGATCGGCATTGAAACTAATTAGACAAATACCTAAACTCAAATGTACTGATCAAACATAAGAAATTTTGCTCATATAATCCAATTGATAGAATTATTCAAAGTGATAGAGGATTTAACTGTGGATATTTTTAAATCCGAGGAATTCTTCCATAAAGCATTTTTTTAAGAAATTTATTGTGGACGATTTTGTTTCTCAAAGATTTTTTCTGAAATATTGTTCCTCTAGGAATTGTATGTGGACCCCTGCTTACTGAATTGTAAGCAGCTGTCCTATGCATCAATTTTCTTCCTCATTTAAGGAAGATATTAGTGTCTCATATTGTCTAGAGATAGGATAATTATAAGTGGTATGATAGTCTGCTACTGATCGTTGTTGTATAAAATCCTAATTGCCAGCAGGTGGTGAAGGCTTGCATAAACCTGCTGGTGTGAAATCATACCATACCTGAAATGCCATTCTATTGTCAGGATCATTCATTTTTACATCCCACATCAGCCGTTCGCATGGTAACCTTTCCGGAAACTGATAAATTGCTGGTGCTATCGGACTTGGCGGATTGGGTTCTACTGATGTTTTTGCGCCCTATCAAAATGATATTCCTTTAATCTCAGGACAATTCTCCTCATAATGATTGCTTTAAAACGAATCGAAATTTTTTGTATTGACCTTTTCCAAGGGACATCCTTGACCATCCAAGATGATTTGATTGCTCATTTCTACTAAGTTGTATTCCCACGTTCCAGGTTTTTGATCATTGGTACAAAGACTCAATGTTTTAGATTTTCGCTCTTCTAAACTATAGATTATGCTCCTCCAATTCTTTTTTGGGGTAAGATTACCGGCGATCTAATTGTAAGCGTTTTATGAATGATATTTTGTTTATTTTAACTACTCTATTTCTCTTGAATATTGATGAAATGCATCTTACTATTGTCAAATCGTTGCTTTTAGACAGTCCTTTTGGAAAATTTAATGCTGTTATCTCGTAGCCTTTTCGATCAAACGTAACCCAAGAGCCTCCTCCTAGAATACTATTCCTCTCGACTGCTAATATATAGAAGAATGCACCCTCAATATCTCCATCCAGAATAGTACCGCAATCAATGGAAAGCTAGAGATTACCAACGGAAAGGTAAAATTCTTTAAATTATTTTACTCTGTAAGTAAAATGTATGTTGAATCTCTGTTAATCTTTCTTAATGAATAGATAATTGTCGAGAAACATAAACAAATGTTTTTGTAAAAACAGTGTGCCAAGGAAAAGATTTTCGTCCTATTCCTCCATTTTATGAGCTGCATCAAGGACGTTGGTTCTGCCACTAGTGATTTTGTATATCATAACAATTTCTTCCCCAATCGTTTGATGTAGAGCTACCCTCCTTATAGTAATTCATTGCACATGAGTATCCGTGCAATATTTCCTGATGTCACTCTTCTGCTCGTTTCTTTTTTTTTCAATATTTTGGATATTGGATTTTTTTAAAGAATACCAATAATTATTTTTAATGACAATGTTGTGTAAAAAAAACATTTGTGTCTGTTTTTATACAAAATTTCATAATTTTTTTCCACATAAACAAAGAATTGTTTTTCTGTCCTGTATTCTTTTTCACAATTCGATTCAACTGATCTATGTTCTACAAGATAAGATAGACTTCTAATCAAATTTTCGCTTGATTTTCTATGGAAATTATAGCGTTTTGCGAGTAATATTGATTTCCTCTTGAAATTTACTTATCCACTGATATTCAACCCTCGATCAATCGCTCAATCAGCGCGGCGCGGCCCGTCTTTGTTTTTTTATATTTTATATTTTAGCGTGTTTCTTGACGCTTAAAAATTCGGAAAAAATTAGAGTTCCCAGTTCAATCCTTTTGTTAAGCGTTGGCCTTGTCCGTTTTTTTCGGGAAATTTGTTTAGCTAAAAATAGAAAAGAATCATCTAACGGACAGAAAAGTGGCGCAGCGCCGCCCCATGCGAGTGAGTCCATGTCGACCCCTCGAGCGGCAGTGTTGCTACATTCACTGCCACACTTGCAATGCGCGCATAGTGGTAAGTGCCAAGATGGCAACAGCATGCTCGGTTTCAACCGGCGGCGCTGCGCTAACCGTGCGACGGATGAAGGCGGCCGAGCGCGAGTGATCAAGCGTTAATAATTAACACAACATCGACAAATTCGAATTATCTCAGATTCTCCTTATGAACAAAGTCAATAGAAAAATCCAGTGAATTCGCCGAACTATTATATTGGATTTCTATTGAAGTTTCTGTTAGTTTTTGGTCCATTCTATTGAAGTATTCAATAGAAAATATTCTATAAAAAAAGTCAATACAATTCGATTTTTCTATACAATTATTCTATTGAGATATTCTCTACAGAATTACCTTGGCTCAAATTTTCTAAGTTTTTTGTTTAATTTTCTTGTTGAAAAGGGAAGAAAAATACAATAATCTGCCTCAGGCAGCATACGCCACAAGAAACATCTGAAATTCGTCCGAAATAGATCGTTTATATTTTTTGGAAGATCTCCATCCGGCGGAGAACATGAGCGAGACAAATATCCCATAAGTATCAACATTCAACTTCCACCCAAATATTCGTTCACGAACAAGATTTGCTTCAGATCAAGGACAGACATTGAGAAGTAACTCACCTTCGGTGCTGGGTCGCCCAAACCACATTCAGCTCCTCCACCAGCGTTAGCATCGGCGTTTCCATCATTATCAGCATTAACTTTAAGAGCGCAAAGGCATTTTATCGCTTCAATGTCAATGCCTTTTTGTGGATCTATTCCAGCATCAGGATTGCTTGAAGGGTCCCCAGCCGGAGGATCCTCAGCCGGAGGATCACCAGCCGGAGGATCACCTTGACCCTGAAAATCAAATTGTAAGATGGTTTTATCATTAACAATGTTGAGTATTCGATAGAATTTCGTTGGAATTTTCTTACGTATGCATAATTCACAAACATCACTAAAAAAAAAACTGCAAAAAGGAAGCTCTTCATATTGAACTGTATAAGCCTCTAGACTTTACAAAACTGCTATCCAATTGTCCAAGTTGGTCTTTATCGTCGAATGAGCATGCGTACCTCCACAACCGTTAGTAGAAAGAACGAACAATATTGCATGGGTATGCTGATAATTTCACATTTACCGTGTTATATCATGCTGTTCGAGGATAGGATCATTAACGGAAGGTAACTTTGAGGTAATTGTTATCAGTAGTTGACTAAGAATTCACAAAGCAATGTTCTATACTAGTAAGCATGGAAAACTAACAATTCTTCGATGAATTTTATTTATTCTTTATTTATTATTCATACCTGGCCTTCAGGGGTTAGCCCTATAGCAGTAGCAATACCTGAGTTATACATAAGTAGATTATAAACTAGAAGACAATGGAGGCGATACGTTCAAAGCTCAGTCGCAAGATGACAATTGTCGTTAAAGTAATAGAAGTAATAGAAAGAGTTGAATAGAGAATACAAGTGGCGTTATTGAAAAAATATTTCATTCGCATTTGGTTAAACCTGCTGCGTAAAATGATACAATATTTATTTGTTTATTTACTTTACGTTTCATTTTTTCTTATTCATCAATCATTTTTACTTATCTTCCTCTTCATTTTTTCTTTTCCCAAATCTTTAATAAAACTAGTCTTACAAAAGTACAGCAGAACATCACTCCGGGTGCATTAAAACAAAAAAGTTGCAAATTTTCAGCGCATTTAATAGTAAATAATGGACATTTTTGAGGTTGCCAAAAAAAATCATCTTCGATTAATTTTTAAACAGTATCACTCAAAAAAAATTACTTCTGATCAATAGAAAAAGTTCTACTGATCAATACCAAGGGGTTTCAGGGGGAAAAGACAAATTTTGTACTTCCTCGAAATTACAAAAGAACTAGATGCCAGTATATTGCGTCAAGTATCCGAGTACTGGTGAGAAGCACCTCGGTACTTGTTACAAGTACTTTTGCTACTCCGGATAAGGAAAAAAACGACTTTTACTGAGTACCTGGCTGGTTCTTTTCAAAAGTACCAACAGACTCACGTTAAGTAGCAATAGTACTCAAATTCAGTACTCATAATTTTTTTCAGGAATTCATACAAAATTACAAATGAAGATCCAAATGTTGGAGCACAAGTGAACACACAGAAGAATCTGCAGGTAAAATACGTTTTTGAAATGGTACTTCACGTTTTCAAAAAGTAATTTACGATTTTGTTAAACGGATGAATTACGCTTTTGAGACCGTAAATTACAGCCTGAATGATGTGAATTACTATTTCAAGAACGTGAATTGGGATTCTCAAAATTGGAAATCAATTCGGTTTGGAAAGCACCTATAAAAACCATAATCTACTGATTTTTTCCCACAAAATATTTTCTCCTGAATACTTCTATTTACAAAAATGGGCAAGAGAGCTCATTTTATCCGTCGATAATATTCGCTTTTCTCAATGAAGTAATTAATGGAAAGTACTAAAATTAAGTCATAAAAGTACTTGAGAAAAATTCAAAAATTACTTTTCACTGGTACCTGTGGTAATTGTGAAAAGTACTAAAAGTACTATCAGAAAGTAGTGAAGCTACTTCCTCCCAGTACTATTTCTACTTGATCGGCAGAAGTAATACTTCCCTCAAGGATACAAAAAGTACTTGGGACAGGTATTTCTCGAACTTTCCACAAGTGAACTTCCCCCCCGAACCAGTCGGTACTAGAAAAAAATACATTTTTCTTTGGGTGTATACAATAATGAGTATTTGAAGAGAGAAACTTCATCAAAATTCCCTCATTTTATTATGGTCACCTCATATATTCAGAGGATGTGAAGAAAATTAGAAGGATGAAAATTTCATTTTCTCCACACGTGTACACTGATAGAACGGATTAGTTATTGTTAACGAATAGATTTTGGTTGGAGGTTAGGATCTATTCGGTTCCACCAAATGTTCATTCGTTAATAGTTAACGAATCTCGTTTGGAATAAATGGATCATTCTATCAGTGTACACAGAATGTTTTCGAACCGATATTTCGAATCCTTGGGTTTCCCTAATAGCAAAAAAGATTTTTTGCGTTAATTAAAGTCTTTATTTAATTGATTATATATATAATTGTTAGATTTGTCTCATAAAGGTGCATCTTTGGTATTTGGTAGTCTGCTCAGTGCTCCTAAGCTGTGCCCAATATTCAGAGCCAGTGCCTTCTCTAACTCCTCTGCGCTGTAATGTCGCTCCTTTCTCTTTTTTAATTTTCCGTTGTGATAGATCAATCATTAAACAATAAATTTAACCCTCGGAACAATATTTTGATGAAGAAAAGCATGATAAGGTGCGGAAAAATTTGTTGACGGGTGAGGTTAAGTGGACCCACAAATTTTTTTAAGATTTTGCGAGTTTCTTTCCCTAGTTCTGGATTTCAATCATTTAATCGACGCTGTTTCTCACCGTGAATAATGATTTCATTTATTTGTTGCTTACATTTTCCGTTTAACACACGCTGCACCGACCAACGTCTCTAACCAACTCGGTTAAGAGATGGCGCCTGAAGGTACCGTGTCAGTGTAGCTCGTCACAAAATTAAAATTATAAAAAGATTCCTATTTTAAATCTGAAAAATTGAGCTTAGGTCGAACAGATTATAGTTTTCTGTTGCTACCATAATTTAATTGAGAGAAAAAAAGGAGAAAAACAGAATACAAATTCAGAAACAAGCTACAATTAGTAGTATGCCTTCGGGTACTCGTACTCGTTCGGGTACTCCTACCTTAACAGTACTCTATTTACTTTCCAAACACGTCGACAAGTTCGATTCCAGTAATCTCGAAGAACAGAAAGAAGAAATAGGCAATTCCATGGAGTTAATGCGATTCTCCAACATTCTTAATGGAACGCATCGATTCCCATCGGGCGGCAAATAAGAAGATAGATCTACACATGGACTACGTGAAGCCAGAGTAGGGGAGGGTTATGGTGTGTATATTTTCCGGTCGACGATGCGAGACCTATTTAACGGCCGCGAGAGTCCGGTAATGGGATTCGAACTCTGCACCCTTGGGGGCCATCTTGTTTTGTGTGTACGAAAGGTGTGCTCTTTTCGTCTTCTTCTCTTCTTTATCTTCTCTTATTTCTTATTTTTATTTGGTGATATTTCTAACGGAGATTCACAAAGTTGTGGAGTTGAATGAGAAGATCCGATTAGGAGTTTCACAGAGGATTTAAAAATGGCTCACATCTTACAACATTTGCGTAAGAAGATAAAAAAACCCTCCAGAAATCTTTGCACATTAGCATACAGCTGTGACAGTAGCCTTTCGTATTCGCGAGCAACTGTCCAGAGATTAAGGATGGGGGAAACAGTGGTTTTTGAACCTAATACTGTGCCTCTTCGCGGTCACGTAAGACACACAAAGCAGTATCTGACATTCGCAATGTATATGAACAACCTACGGAATAGTTACCTTACAGCCGTAGGTTTTCGTCCCGGGGCTTTGGTTTTGTGGTCTAGCGTTTAAACGTCGTGTAAACCAACATTTTCTGCATTTACGATCTTGGACAGCATCAGATTCCTCACAATCTTGCTACCTCTCCGTAATGTGATTAAATCTCCTACACAGATTTTTTTTCAATTGCGTTTGAGGTATTTCACACAATTTCATAAGTATGAAAACTCGGTATATTCATAGGTTCAGGGGTTCGCGAAAGATTTAATGGTAAATTGGGTAATAATTACCGCTTCCTTTTGACCTTTACCCTCAAAATGGTATACCGGACATTACGTTAATTCGAATACAATTATATTTTCCCTAGATGGAGGAGGGGAAGGGGAGAGACCAGAGTATTCGATAATGGGAATGCAAGAATGGTTATATATGTGTGTGAGCACTTTAGCTATGGTCTCCATTATCGAAATAGCAATTAGAATAAATCAAAAGTGCTGCCTCCTGCAATTGGCGCGCCGATTTTCGCTCACCCAACCCGCCCAGACTTATCGTCCGATTTAGCGTTAGTTACCATCAACTTTCATCCCGGGGAATCGCCCTATCTGTCTTTTTTCTTTGATGGCTTTGTGAGAAAAGTTTCACCACCTCCATCCCTCTCCGTTCATTCCATTATGCATAGTGATGATATCAATAACGATAATTAGGAGATTGATCAAAATGGAGACGATCCATTTCTCATATCCATTATTAACGTTGAGAGAGGGAAGTCTTCGGAGTTACGTACGTTCGTGCCGGTGAACACTAAAACGAATGTTTCAGAAATTGTCCCAGGATATCTCTCTGTCGTTATCGGGGACTCCCCCTAGGAAGATGACGTGACTGTCGTTCTCACGATAGTCACCGGAGGCACATCCAAAAAACGACCTCTGGTAGGAGAATTCTCTCGTGTGGAGTATTCCAAAAGTACCATCCACATACCAATAGTCTTAGAATTTTGGAAGAAAAGTGGCAAATGGGAGAGTGGTCCGAAGACCGTTCGTTGGACTGCCCCCTGTACGATTCTTACCTGGTACACTACGGGTTGATGTCATCCCTAGAGAGACGGCTCTCGAAAATTTGTACGTCTGCTCTGTCGCTCGATAAGGCGGAATGTCCAATATGAAATGTAAATCAGACGATATTAAGATTGATTTTTCTGGGGGGAAGGAATCGTAGAAATCGTAGAGCAATCAAAATGCTTCGGTGTTAGTGTTCTACACCGATTGCTCATCAAATCTTCCGGGATTGTAAATATCCTAAGAACTATGAAATATACTAAGAATGCTCTATAAATTGTCACCGCAGTAATACTAAATTTTGGAGGACCGGGCGCACATTGAAATTTAATTTTTAATTTTCCGAACTGAAGTGAGGAAGTTATTGTAATGACCCCGGAAATCAATTATGGAAATTTCATGATTTCTCCACGTTTCATGAACCCTAGAGACTCTCCCGACACTTTTGAGAGATGAGTCTGTATGTGTGGATGTGTGTATCTGTGTGTATGTGACCAAAATTTTCTGCTCTGATTTCTCTCGACCAAACAATGCGATTCAATTTCTCTCTCACGCAATCAATGTGTTTTT